AGCTCAGTTGGCCGTTTTGCTCTTCAGTAAGCACCTAAGACCAAACCCCTGCCACCAAGTGCTGCTCCCTGTTAGGTCTATGGTGACTCAGGTCAGCAGAGTAGGACATGTGAAGCCACGGGCAATTCAGTGCTAAGGACCATAGTGGACAACACTCTGGAAAAAGCGTTAATGATAAGTGATAAAGAGCAATGCACACAAAGCCGGCCCTGAACGGCGTGCCCACTGGGCTGATTGGGTGTTTGGGCTGTTTGCAGTCGGTTGCAAAGAATGCTGGGCTGGCGCTGGTGGCTGGAAAAGCAGCATCTCGCCCACTCCTGGCTCTTCTAGAACTCGGCAGAGTGGGGACCTCAGGGCTGGCCAAGGGATTTCTGGTCCCTCCTTGCAGCTCCTCGGGAAGCAAGCCTCCCGGGAATTCTGGGGATGCCCACCGTTAGGATTCACTGCAGACCCTGCATGCGAGTTGCCCAGGGGTCCTAGAGGAGAAACTGCTCCCCTCCCCTCCCTCCGCTCCCAGGATTCCTGAGCTCGCTGGGCTGCGGGACCAGGTTGTGTCTGTGTGCACCACGTCACCTTCCACCTAACAGCTCCCCAGGACCTGGGCCAGCCTCTGGGATTTCATTCTCAGTGGCATTTGGACCAGAGACCCCTGCTGTGGGGGCCGTCTGTGCAGGGGAGGCCATCCAGCAGCACCTCCAGCTCTACCTGCTGCATGCCACTTGCACCCTGTCCTGCAGGAGTGACCACTCAAGGTGTCTCCAGACACTGCCGATGCCCCGGGGATGCTTCTCGAGCTTCAGCCGGAGCCGACTCCCAGCACCAGGCTCCTCTGGCACTTTGGTCTGGGGGTGCTGGGTGGGGGTCGAGGACGTGCCTTCTCAGTGAGTCCCAGGTGGCACTGGAGCAGCTGGTCAGGGTGGCATTTGCAGAACTCCTGCTCTGCACCGCAGATGAACACCTCATCGTCTCCGGAATAAATGCAGTGGCGGAGTTGACACTGGCAGGGCACAGAGAGGGTGGCTCCAGGTCGTCAGCGTGCGTCTTGATGGTGGCCCTTTGGGAATTCAGAGTCTGCCATTCTAGGAAATTGGAAGGCAGCTACGGAATTTGTGATGTTATGCGTCGGATCAAGATTTGGTTTTCATTTGCTCTAAATTTAGTGATTTTTCTCAAATAAAATCAGCGTGCAGACGACCAAGATGAAAAGAAACAGCCTCTGGAGAAGTGATGGATGGAGATGATCACGAAGAACCTCAGTCTGTGCCCCAGCTGCTCACCACCCAGCCTCGTCTCCACGTCCCTGGTCGCTCTGGCTAGTGGCTTCCCGTGAAGAATTTATATAAATTTCCAGGGGCTGCATAACCAAAAGCCAGACAACACTCTTCACCGAATCATGCGTAATTTCTAATCCCTTAACTTAATAATTTGTGTCAGCACAGCAGAAAGTGGCTGGAATTAGCACTGCACACATTTGTGCAAATTGGAGAAAGAATAATAGAAGAAATCATCGCGGCCTGAATGTCAGTGGAGGGCTCGCGCTTAGTCTTCTGGGTTTGCTGGCTGTGACAGAACCGTGCACAGGCCTTTGTAATCATAGGTGCCTGTCCTGGTGCCCAGAGAATCTGAGAAACACAACCCTCCGTGCTGGACCAGCAAACCCATAGTCCTGTGCTGCTGAGGGGTTCTGCTGTGTCTTCTTCACCGCCCCCCACTCCTTTTCAATTAGTTTTATTACTACTATTCACTTGGTGAGACCGTGGAGTTCTGTGCCAGCCAGTGCCATGAGTTAAATCTGGAAGACGCTGATGGTTGAAAGTCATAGAGTCACACATTTAGTGTCCACCCCTCATGGCATGCTGGCCCGTGTACCCATTGCAACCCAGAAAGGGGGCCAGCCTCAATGGACAGATTTGGGGAAAGGCTCAGAGAGACTAAGCAGATCACTACATTCCTATCTGGGTGCTTTAGTACAGTACAGGGAGACAGTCTGGTCCCGGGCCCCTGGACCTGGAGTCCATTAGGGGAGAAAGATGGGGGCAAACAAGCAGGCAAGGGAGGGAGGAGGGGCTGGCGTGGGTAGAGGACAGCGGGGTGTAGGCAGGCGGCAGATCAAGGACCCTCTCTGAGGAGGTGCTGTTTAAGGTGCCACCTGACTGATGGGAGGAGCTGACCCTGGGAGTTGCTGCATGTCAGAAGGGATGGCACATGCAGAGGCTTTGGGGTGAAGTCCTCGGTGTCTGCGTTAGCCAGCTCTCCTGTCCTGTCACAAGACACCCGAGGAAACCAAATTATAAAGACGAAAAGTTAATTTGGGTTCATGGTCATGGAGGTTTCAGGCTTGTTGCTTGGGCCAGTGGCAGCACAGCTTCCCACGGCGGGTGCCCGTTCACAGGGAGAGGAAGTGAGAGAGGGAGGGCAAGAGGCTGGGATCCTCCCGTCCGCCTCAAGGACACACTCAGTGAACTAGTACCTCCCACCTCGGCAAGGCTGCCACCCTTCCGATGATGCCGCAGGCTGCGGACGCGGCCTTTACCACATGGGCCTTTGGGGACTTTCCAGATCCAAGTCTAGCAGTGTCCTGAGGACACCTGGGCATCCGGAACCTGGTGAGGGAGGAGGGGTGGCCCAAGGTGAGGCTAGAGGGTGGTCAGAAACTGCGGGGCCACCGTGGAGGTTGAGAGGGACGCATGGCACTGGACACCAAGGTCATCCAGGGATTTGGAATGCTCCTTTGAGCCAGTGCGAGGGGTACATAAGGAAAGATGCCCGGGCACCGAGCTCAACAGGAGAAGGGCAGCGGCCCGTGGCCCCCGCTCGGAGAGCTCGTCCCTGGCCCTCTGCGTGCCCGGGTTTGCACCTCTGTGGCTGGGCGGTGCCTGAGTGCAGGTGAGCCAGCTCTGAAGTCGCCGGAGAAAATCTCTCCACCTGTTACCGCGACAGAACAGACGCCAAAAAATATCTCCTGAACTCCTACCAGCAGTCCGTCCTGAGCAATGAACTTGCCAAGTAATACTCTCAGGGCTCTATCCTGAACCCTTTGGTGATGGCTAATAGTGGGTGACCACTTGGCTGGACGTACACATCGTTCTCATCCAACACTTTTCCACCTGTTTTAAAATTTTTTTTCATAAGTTGCTATTTTTTAAAATTTATTTTTATTCTAATTTGTTGTACATGACCGCAGAATGCATTACAATTCATATTACACATACAGAGCACAATTTTTCACTTCTCTGGTTGTACACAAGGTAGAGTCACACCATTCGTGTCTTCCTACATGTACCTAGGGTAATGATGACCATCGCATCTTTCCTACTCCCACGTCGTCCCCTCCCTTCCCCTCCCTCCCCAGTGCCCTATCTAGCTTCAATGTTTATAGCAGCACAATTCACAGTAGCTAAACTGTGGGACCAACCTAGATGCCCTTCAGTGGATGAGTGGGTAAAGAAAATGTGGCATCTATACACAGAGGAATATTATTCAGTATTAAAGAGAATAAAACCATGGCATTTGCAGGTAAGTGGATAGAGTTGGAGAATATCATGCAAATGAAGTTAGCCAATCCCCCCAAACCAAATGCTGAGTGTTTTCTCTGATTTAAGGGGGCTGACTCATAATGTGGTTGGAGGGCTGCGTGGGGGGATTAGATGAACTCTTTTCCACCTTTTGTGAAGGTGTTTTTAAAATGAGATGAGATTTTGGGTAAAGCAAAGGAAGGACTGTCCACTCTGTGTGTGAACCTCAGCCAATCAGCCCCAGGTCTGAAGGGAAAGAGAATGACCCCCTGTTCTCCCCAAACAGGAGGGGCTATGACAGCAGATGGCCTGTGGCTCCAAACTGCTTCACTTCCTGGTTCTCCGCCTGCTGCCTGCAGATTGTGGACTGGCCAGCCTGCCCAGCTGGTTCCTTAAACTGCATCCCCTCTCTCACTTCCTCCCTCCATCTTCGTGTTTCTCTTTCTCTGGAGAACCCTGACTAATACACACCTGACATCTACCCATTTATGCCCATCTGACAGAGGAGGAGACTGAGGTTCAGAGGTGTTCAATACCATGCCCAGGGGCACAGAGCAGTGAGCAGGGAGCCAGGATGCCGGGGCAGGTCTTTCTGGGCCACCACACAGCACAGCTTCTTGTGTGTTCATTTATGAATGAGAACGCAGCAGCCTACCTGTAACACACTGCGTTTCCCATGAAGTACTTTCCCATTTTAGTGATTCACAAACCACCGTGGCATCTCATGGCGCATGAGAATCGTCAGTGTTAATACCTTATCAACCAGGCAACAGGCAAAAATGCCCGACAGCAGAGAAGGTTGCCCAACAGCACGGTGTGTAGAGGCTTCCCTTCACTTTGCTTAGCATATTTAGGACCCTATAAGATGCTCCTTATATTCATAATTAAAAAAAAATACTCAGAGTACCCATATCATTTCATACACATCTCAAGCACCATGAGAGGGAATGACACTTTAACACTTTAAAATGACACTTTAAAATTAGATGGTCACACTTTAAAATTAACCTGTTTTGCTGGGTGCGGTGGTGCACGCCTATAATCCTGGTGGCACGGGAGGCTGAGACAGGAGGATTGCAGGTTCAAAGCCAGCTCAGCAACATAGTGCCCCTGGGTCCAATCCCTAATACACCCCCCCAAATTAACCCAGAGAATGAAATTTTATTAATGATTTAAATTAATTAATTGATTGACTTTTAATGCACACATCGAGTCCTGAGCTGCTCCACGTCTTTGACTGTGGGCTAAAGTCCCCTGGTGAGGTCTCAACTTCAAAAGTGACCCCAAACTGGATCCTTTCCATAGGAAAAGTCAGCAGTAAACATTGACCCCGGGATCAATTGTTTCTGTTTAAGTTCCAGACGGTCCTGTGGGAGGGAGCAGTCGGGTCACATGTGACAAAGACAACAGCTCTCAGGAAGGGTTGTCACCCTGGAGCTGCAGAGGGAGAGTCTCCGGGCTCTGAATTAAAACCTTCTGCTCACGATGGCGCTGGCCATGAAGGTGCTGGTGATGCTGGCTCTGGGGATGGACCTCGGGCCTTGCTCAGGTAGGGAGCTCGACAGGCCACCTGCTCTTGGGGACACGCAGCCTTCCCCTCTCACGGTGGCCCGTGTGCTCGTGCGTCCAGGTTTCCCCGTGTACGACTATGATCCCTCCTCCCTGCGGGAAGCCCTCAGCGCCGCGGTGGCCAAAGTGAACGCTCAGTCCCTGAGCCCGTACCTGTTCCGCGCCTTCCGAAGCTCCGTCAAAAGAGTAAGTGCCCCTCGCCCGCCTCCTCGCTGTCCGTCCTGCCTTTGGCCAGTTGGCTGGTTGGACTCTGGTTTGTTTTCCTGGTTTAGGAAGGTCACCCCCTTCACACTGATTACTTGGGACAGGGAAAGGATCTCATTACAATTTGTCACAAGGCCCTGGAGTGGCTCTGGGGGCAGACCCTGCTGCGTCCTTCCCTCCGACCCTGCCCGGTCCTCGCTGCTCCTGGGTCCCCAGCGCTGCTCACTTATTAGCAGTGAGCCTCGTTTCCCCTTCAGCAGCTCTGCTCTGAATGCTTGCAGGAAAAAAAAACCCAGCTTTGGAGCTGAAGAAATCCACCTTCCTTTGTCAATTGACAATGTCCTGTTTCTAACAGCCCGAGAACTTTAGTGAGAGAGGAGTTCTCACGGGTTTCCAATGACTGAGTCTGGAAACGCAAGGAAAAAACCCTAGATGCTCCTTCAGAGGAGACGAGAAGCCAGGCCTCAGGGGCCTCCCTCCTTCCTGTCCCCGGGCAGCTTCCCTGTCTGGCTGTCATCTTAATGGGGCTCTGGGGAGGCAGGGACAGAAAGGCCCTCAAGCTTAATTTAGGGGGTTCTTTAAGGTTTCCTGTCACAGGTGACGTCTGCGCAGCCGGACTCGCATCAGCAAGAAGGGAGACGGGCGGCCTCCAGGCCTCAGCTGAGGCCTGAAGCCCTCGCTCTCCCGCTGCCTCTCGGTCCCCTGCTCTCCATTCTGGGGCCCTCCTCAGCTCACAGGAGGCCGTTCCCCCCACTCCACAGGGCACGCGGTTCGTGGATTCCTGGCCCCATCTTCAAATATAACAGCCATCTGGACCTCCTCCTTGGAAACTGCCTCAGTTTCTTTTTTTTTCCAAATTAATCGATCTTCCCAGTTGGCTTTTCTAACTGGGTCGTAGGTCATGAAGAGTAGGGCTACGCTTTAGGTGGGTGCCTATCCCAGGCCTGGCTTTCATGGTCAGGCGGGGCTATGTAGACCTGGAAGCTGTGCTGAGGAGGCCCTGCAAGGTAGGCGTGGTCAGCCTCTGAGACTAAGGCCCAGCTGCAGGAGGAGAGCTGGGTCAGACCCAGCCTCTTCCTAGTCCACTGCTGCTACGTTGGCCCCAAATGCCACATGGAATCCTCGTGCAGTGTTGTGGAATCCATGTCCCCTTCCAAGCTTGAAGATCAACATTTACATTTACTTGTGATTTAACTATTGCTCTCTACGGGACAAAGTTAGTGGTTAATTAAATGAGTCCGAGCACGAGGACACATACCAGGGGGACTGATGAGGAATATCATGGAGATCTGGCCTGCGGAGATGAGCTAGTGTGAAGTGCAGTCACCCAGGCACATTCCAACACATGCGCCATCTTGATGTGGCTACACAGACCTGAGCCCAGATACGTGCACCTGAAGATACATTGTTAGATGATGTGTGTGGTCCTTGCAGGTACATAAGTAAGAGACACCTGTCTGCCACAGTACGCTGCTCTTCCCCTGGAAAGTCTGCCTGTTCTTGCCTGCTCTCAGTCTTTAAGGATCACTCATAGTCATGGGTCAAGCTACATACACCACGTTCTATCTTGGAAAACTTATTTTTTCTCTCCCATTTTAAGAAAGAACCCTCTTCTTTGATCTCTCCTGGTGAGACTTGTCTCCTCTTGGAAGTGCCTCTCGTTTTGCTCTATGTTGTGTGTGTCAACCATGTCTTTCACAAACACCCTATAGATGACCCCAAATAGACCAATTCTCTGTCCCCATTGGGTGAGGGGCATGACTTTAGCAGTGACGTCTTCCTCGCTCCAACTCTGACATCAGATTCACCCAGACTGTTCCCTAAGTGGACACAAGTGCAGATGGGAAAGGTGGACACAGGCCCTGGGTTGGGGACATGGAATGAAGAGGACAGATTCTCCTGGGGAGGGAGGAGAGGCAGGTCCAGGGGCAGGGAGGGGCGGGTTCTGTGGAGAAGTCCAACAGGCAGCGCCCTCACGAGTGCACGGGGCGTTTTGTTATAGCAACAGGCAATGGACTGAGCACAGACTGAGACCACCACCTACCCGGGCCTACCCCAGCACCTCTCCAGTCTTGACTTCTTCCCTGCAGCCCGCTGTACACAGCAGCCGGACTGATGGGTGTGGCCAGGCTGGGGCAGCAGTCAGCGGCGAGGGTCTCCATGGAGACGGTCATGCCTGAGACTCACCTGAGTGATGAGAAGTTGAGGCCACGGGAAGACCTTTAGGGGGAGGTTTGGAGGGTGCTGGGCAGAGCCAGGGGGACAAAAGGCCCTGGAGAGACCGGAGCCCTGTGAGCCAGGGAGGGAAAGATGAGAAGGAAGCGAGGTCAGAGAGTGAACATGAGTTGGGGAATGATGTCTGGGTTTTGAGGCGTTAGGGCCACAGGTGGCCACAGGGAGCTTTTAAGTGGAGAAGACATTTGCATTTGTAGATCTCACTCTTAGGCAGCAGGGGCTACTATACCAAAGTACCACGGATGGGGGGAAATATGAACAAAAGAAATTGGCCTCTCACGGTCCTGGAGCCCGGAAGTGCTAGATCAGAGCAGTGCCGGTTCTGGGAGGTCCATCTTGCAGGTTGCAGAAGGCCGGCTTCTCCTGGTGCAGAAAGAGAGCCAAGCTGCCTCTCTGGCCTCTTCTCGTAGAACACTCGCCGTTCCTGAGGGCTCCCCCCCAAGACCTTCTTACCTCAAACGCTCCCCCTCCAAAGGCCATCATAAGGGGCCAGGGTCTCCACATATAAATTGGGTGGGAGTGAAACATTGAGTCCACTGCCGTCTCGCTGGCTGCCATATGGGGTGGGGTGCAGGGGAAGAAGTGAAGACTGGGGAGACGTTAGGGTGGAACCCAGGTAGACGGGTGCCTTAGTCTGTGTCTCAGTTCATTTTCTGTTATTATAGCAAAATGTCTGAGTCTTAGTAATTTGTAAAGAAAATGGGTGTATTCAGCTCAAAATTCTGGAGGCTGAGAAGTCCGAAAATCTCCCCAGTGTTTGGTAAGGGCCTTCCCTGCTGCGTTGTCACATTGGAGGCATCACATGGCCAGAGAGCAAACACGGAGATGGCACGTTTAAAACAAAGCCACCCCCAAAACACTACGTTAATTTGAAGGGACGAATCCACCCAGGAGGGTAGACCGCTGAGCACCCAGTCATCTCCCCAAAGGTCCCTGCTGCCAACACTGCTATATGGGGCACCAAGTTTCCAAACCATGAATTTTGGAGGACACATTCAAATTATAGCGGTCAGCTTCCTGTTTGACTGCAGCAGAATCCCTGAGACTGGGCAATTTACAAGAGAAGAAATGCATTTGGAGTCACATTTGGAGGTCACACTCAGGCAACAGCAGCGGCGATGGCAGCTCATCCGGGGACGGCATGGAGGAGGGGACAGGTGGGAGCATCCGGGATACACTTAGACGCAAAGCCACAGGAAGCCCGTGACCCTTAAAGTGTCTAGGCTCATTTTGGTCCATTTTTGCCTTTTATTTGCATTTTTTGTTTTCTAAATTATTCTCAGCCAGTTATTTCTGTTCATTACTCTTTGTCCATTAATAAGGGATTCACTTAATTCAGGATTCTCCAGAGAAACAGAACCAGGAAGGTTCAATGCTCTTGCTAGGGTTTAAACGTGGTCCCCAAAATTCATGTGTTACAAAAACGTCCTCAGGGGGCTGAGGGTGTAGCTCAGTGGCAGAGCGTTTGCCTTGTGTGTGTGAGGCACTGGGTTTGATCCTCAGCACCACATTAAAAAGAAAATAAAATAAAAGTATTGTGACTGTCTACAACTAAAATAAATAAATAATTAAAAGGGTGGATTCAAAAAAAAAGAGACCTCAGTGCAGCTGTTGGGACAGGGACCTTCACAAGGTGACAGGGTGGAGGGCTCTGTCCTCACGGAGGGATGGATGCCGTCATTATGGGACTGGCTAGCTGATGCAGGACTGGGCTCCTGATGAAAGGGTGACTTTGTCCCTTCCACCTCTCCTGTGGGTGCTCTTTTGCTGGCGATGCCTCTGGCCACGTTATGATGCAGCAAGAAGGTCCTCACCAAGGGACACCCTTGATCTCGGACTTGGAAGCCTCCAAAACTGTGAGAAAGAAACCTCTATTCTTTGTAAATGACTCAATTGTGGAGATTCTGTGATAATGGTATGAAATGAACTGGTGCTGAGATGGGGGCTGTTGCTGTATTAAATGCCTGACATTTTGGAAGCTGCTTTGGAGGTGGGGAACGGGCGGAGAATTTGGAGATGCAGTTAGAGAAGGCCGAGGTCTCCATGAGTGGAGGATTCGGGGCAATTCATGGGTGGCTGTCCTGCATGGAGATCCTGGATCTCAGGTCACCCCAGGGGTTGTAACCAGAATGTTGGTAGACAGATGGACAGAGAAGGCCATTCTCACGAAGCCTCAGACAAATGACGATACTGAAGGTACTGGAAGTCAGAGGGAGGCCAAGCTGGTGATTTAGCTGCGAAGTGCTGGGCTGAATCATGACCCTTTCCTAGGACTGAGAGGGATGCAGAACGTAAGAGTGATGAGTGGGAATCTAAGAAGAAATGTCTCAGCAGCAAGGCATCCAAAACCCCGCACGGCTTCTTTTGTCCACTTGCGGTAGGAAGAAAAGACAGAGGTGACTTAGAGATGGAAATCTAGCTGGAAGCTGAACAGAGAGATGGGGAAATCTCCCAGCTTGGTCCTGGAAAGAATAAAGAGGCAGCTCAGGAGAGAATCCCTAGGGGTGGCCAAGTAACCGTTGGATGAAGAGACCAACGTGGCAGCAAGCAGCCTGCGTCGGCTCTTCTACCTGAGCACCTTCCCAGGGGCTGCGGGACCTAAGCTGAGGGATCCCGGGGTCTCTCCAGCTCATGTGAATGCTTCTCCCCACGTTCGAGTTGCTCCAGCCTCGGGGTTGGCCCTGCCCTGCCCCAGGGAACTGGCTTTTCCTCCCATGATGGGCTCCTTCCCATCCCTCAAGTCCCGGCTTACCTTTTCCTTATTCTGGACTTTTCTTGCACTTTCTCTCTCACGTCGCTCTTCCTCCCCCAGCTCCGTTGCTGTGCGGCTGATCTCAGAGCACTGCACCTCTCTGGAATGACCTGCTGGTTTCCTCCCAGGCATTCACTGGATGGCGCTCACTCTGGAAGCTAAGCTGGCGGGGGGGGGGGGCAGCCTTGCTGGGCTGCCTCTGGTGCTGAACACCCGGGCACATTCCGAGCCGCAGTGCTTCTGTGTCATGAGAACTTCTCAGATTTACCAGGAAGCCTGGAAGATTGCCTCAGGATCCTGTCAATGGTAGAAAGAAGTAGAAAATCATGTGTGTGTTTTGTAATTGGGACCTCTCAAGCAGGAGCCAGGGTTGGACCACACTGTATACAGCAGAGATGCACTTGTTGCTTAATTACTTATTTTAGTAATTATTAAGAAATAATGGAGTGTCTCTTAGGAAAATGACACTTAGAAATCCATACGGTTGATTCACATCATTTGTGGTATTTTTGATAGCTCCACAGATCGCCATAAACACTGAATTTGCAGATCCTGAATCGTTGCCCCTGGGGGAGCACAGGGGTGAGTTCCTGCAAGACTCAGGTAGCATTTTAATCCACCCATTAACAGGTTACCTTGATTTTGTGAGCTCCTGTTTGGAGCGGCTAGTTTAACATCCACTGCAGAAGCACTGACATTGAACCCACTGCCAAGAGAGCCAGGATGCCCACCGGTGCGGAGCTCATCAAATGCATGTATCTTCCCCACGGGGCACATCCCTGTCTCTTACCCTTAGGAATCCTGAACGGCTTTCAGAACTAGGTTTGAGGGGCCAACATGATCCACAAAAATCACAAACAATGCAACAACAAAATGAAAAACCTGTGACACTGAAGAGACCACACAAAGCGCGTTTGCTTGCGGTATTAGCACTGGGAGAAGAGAGCAGAGCATCCCGGTCTGGGAACATGCACACTGGGACCCTTGGTTTTTGCTGCTCTGCATGGGTCCAGGAAGACTGCAAAAACACAGCAAGAGTGAATTTTGGAGTTATAAATAAAGTGCAGCTGGTGGGTGAATCCCAGCAGTGTGGTCCAGGAATATTGGGGATCATCTATCAGTGCAAATTTTCAGAAGCCACACTGTCTTGGAGAGGACACACCGTTTTTTGTTTTCTTAGTGGCAATAACATTTTATTGGTTTCGTGTTTGTCGGGAGTATCCTATGACTTTGGTGAATCACTTTTTCTCTCTGGTCTTCAGGATGTGGGCGGGGCCTAGCCGATGCTAAGATCGTTCATAACTTTCATGGTGGGTGACTATAAATGTTTTCTCACTGGGCAGAGAGCATCGTGTCTAGACCTGTGGTCTTCACAAACACATCTGTTGCAAACTGACACCTTGTTTTCATGAAGGTCAATGTTCTGGATGAGGACAACGTGATCATGGATTTAGAGTTCAACATTCGAGAAACTACGTGCCTGAGAGATTCCGGAGCAGATCCCTCTAGCTGTGCCTTCCAGAGGGGCCACTACATGGTAAGTGCCACCCGGCCCAGAAACCAGTGTAAAGAAGAGCCTCCTCCTTCTGTGATCTGGGGCTGATTTGTAGTCACAGAATGAGCCTGGCCACCCCTGCCTGGCACCTGGCTGTCCTGCTGTGTGGTCACAGAGTTGCCTGGAACAAGCGGTGTGTTCAGTGTTTGAGGACGTGAGCCCCTGAGCTGGGGAGTTAGTGGTCCTGAGTGATTTTGGAAAATTCTTTGGGCCTTGGTGCCTTCGTTTCCTTCTCTTTAAAATGGGGATGAGTTTTTATCATGTAAAGTGAACACAAAGAGGCCATCCCAGAAGTATGACCCAAGACGTGTTTCAAATTCTGCTACAAAACATGCAAACTGTGGCGTGTGCTCCTGGCACGTATTATGTCACCTCGTGTTAACCCTGGTGCACAGCGTCTCCCTACAAGGTCAAGCTTGTGAATCCAGGGACACGGTATGTGTCCCCTGTGATCAGAGCAGGTACGACAGGAATCCCCTCCAAACAGCGACACGTCAATTTAGAGGCTGCTTCCTGCACAGTTTGGGTTTAGACGCCCGACTCCTCCAGGTTGTGGTACTCACAGGGGACTAACTGTTTTATGGTTTATTTCATGAAACTTTCACTGTGACTGTGTGTTAGAAAGGACCCAAGCAAATTCTCCCAAGTATTCCTTTCTAACAAAATCTGTCTTCACCACGTGTGTGTGTGAGCGTGTGTGTATGTGTATGTGTGTGTGGGTGTGAGAGAGTGAGTGTATGTGAGTGTGTGTGAATGTGTGTGGGAGTGTATGTGAGAGTGTGTGTGAATGTGTGTGTGTGTGAGGGTGGGTGTATGTGAGTGTGTGTGTGTGTGAATGTGTGTTTGTGAATGTGTGGGGGGTGGGTGTATGTGAGTGTGTGTGAATGTGGGAATGTATGTGAG